AGACTGCTGATAAACATACTTATATATTTCTAATTACATACATAATATAGATAAATTATACCCAGACACAGAACAAATGATCGTGCTCATCACACAATTATTTGTCCTGGGTGGGTCGAACCCACGACCTCCGGCTTAGCAGTCAGGGTCACTAACCACTAGACCAACAGGCCCCCGTTTGTAATTTTGTAAAGTTTGTAAAAGTGCATTAGGAATATATCCCCCCACAGGATATATTCCTCATGCAGTTGCCTTTAAAAAAAAAACACAAAAAAACGTTCTGTCATTCATGTCTGTCAACATAAAAAAAATGTAGCCGAATAAAGGATATCCTTCTTTTAGTCAGTTAAACTGACTACTAAGTTCTTCGAATAACGTCGTTAGATTTTAATGCTGGGAAGGATTGCTGGACGTCGCAATAATGTAAATCAATCGCACATGGCCACCGATCGTCGTACAAATTCCGATGGTGTTACAATGTGCCCTGGCCTTATAGGAACGTACATAGTATCGCGATATGATCATAATACCTTCATAAACATAGGAAGTAAATCTATTCCAGCGTAGTACGTGCTTAATTTGTAAAGGTATTAAATGTTACCTATTGTAGCAAAACATTTTAAGCTCGAATAGCTTTGTGTACAAAAGCTTCAACGATGTACACTGCACAGGGATGTAACTAAACAACTAAAATAGAGTAACGAATACGTTACTCTATGTTAGTTGTTTAGTTCATTTTCGTTACAGCTACTAACAGAAAATGTGTAGAAAAGTCATAGACATCGTGGTCGTAAAATGTTAACATGTTAACATGTTTAGTGACTGAACATTGTATGTAAAAAATCAAAATAAGCAATTGGATTTTATTTATACGTATTTAAAGGAACCTAAATTATTCTACTGAATGGTACACTTTAATACAATAGGCATTCTATTTTTTTTGTATATTTGGTTATTTCTTGGTTTCATTAGTTTTATTTCTTTGACTAGATTTCTGTGTTCATTCGAGGTTTTATAATTTATACTGTTTTTAACACATTCACTACAACGCCATCTAGTTCCAAATTAATATAATAACTAATGTATACTTTTATCCTGTACAGCAAACACAAGAAATATTAACAAACCTGAAAGCTGTCACTCAGTGAGTACACCTCTTTATTTCAAATTTTAAATGAGAAATACATACCGTGGATTAGAATAAATTGCCCACCGCAAATTTTATTCATTCACCGGTACGGAATTCCTTGCTCTGTGATTGTTACAAACTTCACAGAAAAATAAAATTGTTAAAGTACCTACGACAAAGAAATACATTTTTTCCTACAATCGCAAGAAACCGAGGTATTTCATGAGCATCAGTAGCTTGTTTGCTAATTTGAATTGCAAATTGTAAAACAAACCCACATTGCACAAGTACAATCTTTATGAAAATATTTTCATTCCTCTTTCCAGAGAATTCAATGTTGCACTGTGGACTTTACATTCCTGCGGCTTAGCCAAGTTGCATTCAACAAGCGTAAACGCTATTAGAAAACTACTCAAATGTAAGCATGGAATGATATTATCTCAACGTTAAGTCGCGTGGTCAAAACAAAATAATAGAAAAGTCTTATAGGCCGTTTACACGCTTGGCAACACATGAGTAGATAAACGGAACAGAGACAAAGCTTCTTAAGAACGTGCAAAATTGTTACCTATTTTGGTAAGGTTGTCACAAGAGGTGAAGACAAATTAAACAAAACATTGGTTCAGTTCATTATTCAATACGTTAAAATACTTTACAAATTGCTTATTCCAATTTTTATTTTTTAATAATTTATTGTTTCTTTTAATAGTGTAGTAAATTCTAAATCTTCGTTTTTTCAAGACATCTAACGGGAAACACTCACATATCATATTTTTACAATCGTTAATCCGTTAAAGTACCACATTGCCAACATTACGTTTACCCTCAGCCTATGCTTGTCCACTGCTGGACATAGGCCTCTCCCAATGATTTCCAGCGGGGACGGTTGATTGCGGCCTGCATCCAACGGTTTCCGGCAACCTTTACCAGGTCGTCCGTCCATCGGGTAAGCGGAATAGTTGCCAACATTGACAATATTTATTTCAAGATCGATTTATTCGCGAAACTCTTGCCCGAGCAATTCAACAAATGCGATAAAATTATCAAGAGGTATAATTAAAAATCTAATTGTACGTAACCATCATTCAAATACTTGTAATCCTTGTACTTCATTGAAAAAATAATATTTACTTACCTATTACTACACGTACTCCTATTACTACTACGTACTCCTTGGGATAGTTAAAGTATATTTTAATTTTTTCTAGTATTATTCATGGGTCTACCCTTTACAGCAGAACTTTTTATGTCATAATATTATTTTGCAAATCAACGGATAGCATTAACTTCTTTTCGCAGAAAATCGTTTGGCTGACATTCATTTATCATACATTCAAAACTCATAATTTTATAAGTCATTATCATCTTTAGGCATCAACTTCATATTCATAATAATTAAAAAGTATAACCATCATATCGCCGAAAGCTCAAAATCAGAATAGTCTTTAAGCATAAATTTCATTTCATATCTATAATGATCATAAAGAATATAATCAGAAAGACTATCTATCCATCATTTTGTATTTCTTACCATAACAATAAATCCAGCAAGCATGCAGCCTGCAAGCAAGAATGCAGCATGCAGTTGTTGGTTGTTGAAACCACCTCCTCCTCAGCTCGCGGACCGCCTCGCCTACGCGGGCTTAAATTACACTCTAGGAGTAGGGCAGACAAGTCTAAGTGGAGTCGGTGTTACAGCGATTTGTTTCTCTTATAAACCTTTGTAGCAAGACAAAGATAGATAGATAACTCTTTATTTGCACACTAAATTACAGAGTTACAAGAAAGGAACACAGCGATCAAATATCGAGTGTACAAAGGGCGGCCTTATTGCTAAATGCAATTTTTTCCAGTCGTTTAAAGAAGATTCTGCCAAGTGTGTTATGCGAAATAAATTTCGGAGCATCAGAGGAAATCCATTATTCATATACACAATACAATTATTAATAATAAAATCCCACGTTTTTACAATTAAATATTCAAACTTGCAACTAACAAAACAAACAACGTGCGCCGCACTGACCCTGAGATTGTCTACTGGCTTTTTTTTTTACGTATGGAAATCCCCTCGGGCCGGAATCGGACCGACTAAAACACACGGTGTGCCACTCTGCGCCTGTAATAGGAGGGAGCCGGGAACTGCTGTAATTAAGACATCCGGACCCCTCCTAGCGCCTGCCCGCAACAGCGCGGGCACCATCTTCGGGTACATTCTCCATTTAGGTGAAGTCCGGCATACACTCAGGGCGGCATTAGGCGGTGGTAGGCGCGCCTCCGCCGCCGTATGACGGCCGGTAGTGAGAGATCCCCCCCCCCCCTCCCCCCGATGACTGCAATGAGGACCCGGCGCTGCGGCGCCCAATCCGGGCAAATTGCCAGCGTGTGCTGAGCCGAGTCCTCACTGCAATCGCAGTGGTGTCAGGCGGGACTCAATTCGCTCCTAGCGACCGAGTGCAGGTACTTCCCAAAGCAGCCGTGCCCGGAAAGGACCTGCGTCAGCCGGAAGAAAAGGGTCCCGTGCTGCCACCCTGCCCACTCGACGATGACCGGCTGAAGCGCCTCCACGGCGGCAAAGCCAGCACGTGGAGCCCCCAGCCGGGATGACCAAAGAGCCATCGTGTCTCGCCGCGTACGCGACAAGCGGCCAGTGGTCACGCACACATGTTGTATGAAGCTTTATTTCTGTTCCGTTTATCTACTCATATGCTTGGCAAGCCTCGACAAGTGTCCACAAACGCAAGCGTGTAAACGGGGTGTTTGGCTCGGCTTGCGTGAGCTTGTCGTCGATTGGGGCTAGTGTCGGTTTTTTGAACACAGATCAGAGGAAGCTTGCGGCAAACGTTAGCGACTTATTTACCTGCTTGTTTTCCCCAGTTCAATTTGAAGTCGGGAATCAACATTAATTCCCAATGCTCTCCTGGTTGAGCAATTTAATTGAGCAGTAGGGCTAGAGCTTTTTTTGCCGCCGTTTATATTTTAAATAATTTTTTTTTTATTTTAAATACGTCATGTAAATGGCATCAATTTCACGTGGCACAAATGGTGTAATGGCTTGTGAACGTTTGCCAAGACTCGGAACGCAGGTTAACTAGGCATTAGACAAGTTGTCAATCGTTGAAAGTGAGAGAATGAAATGTAATCGTTTCTACAATGTTCATCGTTAACTAATAAATGCTAGCCAGTAGCCAAGTAACTTTTGACAAGCGCTAACGAAACGATGTCGAAGCTTTTATACGATCACTAAGCGATCGCCAAAACCCAAGAGTGAACGCTAAAAGAATACTCTAAAATAATTATCATATGATAAAATGATTGAATGCCGTCACTGTGATTTTACCTGTGCTATGTCTATGTAAGTCTATGTAAGAAATAGGTCTAAATTATATAGTGTTTTTTCAAGGCTCCAAAGTAGGTTTAGCTTTCCTGGTGTAATTGGGTGAATAGATTATAAATTTTTAAAAGTGAATGGTGGAGCTACATATGATTCACATATAATTATAGGCTTCTAGTACTTATAACATTATGCGTGAATTTCATCAAAATAATGAAGAAATGCGGCATTTGTAATAGTAAAAAATATAATCTTTAGTTTCCCTGCACTAATTTTTAAAGTAATTTTTCAGGTGAAAGGGATAACCACAACACCCTTGGCGTTCACTCATCAATGCAGTTCAAGGATCTAGGGAAAAACGATACACTCAAAAGCAGGTGCAAGCCCGTGTAACTGCATTGAGCGCTGTTTTGGAATACTCAAAGCACGGTGGAGATGTTTGGAGAGAGGATGCTTCACTATCATCCTCATGTAGCTATTAACATTACAATGGCATGTTGTGTGTTAAATAATATAGCTTTGCAAGCTGGCTTACCAGCGCTACAACAACTTCCTGCTGCATATGACAAAGGGGCTAATATAACTATGCAAGATCGCACACCCGCTGCAACTGTGTGTACCCAAAGTGAAGTAATCCAAGAAAGCGCCCTGTTGAGTTCTTTATTGAATAGGTTATAATAATATTATTTTAAGCTTAAATAAGATTTTCATATCATCCTAATTAGAAATTAAACTTTTTGTGTTCTCTACAAATTAATTTATCTTATTAAATATTAATACTAAGTAATTGATAGTATTTCTTTTAAAATATTTTTTTTTTTTGAATGTACATAATGTACTTAGATTTTAAATTATTAACTTTTGATTACTTAGATATTTAATTAAATTAAGCTTTGGTATTACAAACAAGTGTATTATGATTTTTTTTCATAATAATATAGTGAGGTATGCACAATAGTTTTCAGTAATCTAATACTTTGCATTTAGAATTCACACAGTTAGTAAATACTTTACTTAGAAATCAATTACCTACAGTTACTGTATAAAAATATTGGTTTCAGTTCTTACAATTCAAGTCCCAAATTAAAATAGGGTTTGTTACAGGAAGATCTAATCCTAGATACTAATTGACAGAAAAAAAAATACATTTGTACATTAAAACTATAAAGAAGGGAAAGTAATCTGGATTGGAGTAGCAAAGAATTGAAATGAAAATTTATTTAACTCTGATATTGCAGGCAATTTGAAATATTCATGCCCCCACAGCTGAGATCGCTATCACTATATTAGACATTTTATAGAATAATATCTATTGAAGGTAATGATCATGATCTGAACTGTGGTAAAATTTCTATTAATTTGTCTACAGTACCAGCCAAACGATTTAAAATAATATTTTGGTTTTCTACCATTTCAATTCTTTTTGCTTCCAATCGCAGCCTTTCCAGCTCCCTCTCATGCAAATTTTTTTCACGGTCTGCGTCTAATTGCAGCTGACGCTTTTTTATATCCACAAGCTCGCTCATGACATGTAGGAATTGTGTTTTTACGGTACGGGTACGCGCTCGAAGCAGCCCGCGGCGCCGCGACATGGATACGGTGGGCGACGGGCTTGCGTGGTGTCGTCGCCGCTGCGGAGCTCCCCGCGGCGTGGACGGGGTAGGCGACGTCGCTGACGGCATCGGCGGGGACGCAGTGCTGGGCGGCGGAGATGGCGCTGGTGATGGTATTTCTCCAGGCGGAGAATGCATTGAAATAGGAGATGTGGGGGTAGATGCTGATGATGTTGCTGAAAATTAATAATTTTATATTAAACTAGCTGATGACCGCGACTTCGTTAGCGTGGAATTTGAAAAGCGCTTAATTAGTGGGTTTGATTCCCGGACAGGGCTAAATTTTATAGGGTTTGAGAGAAAAATAGCCTAAGTTACTCCTGGTATAGACAGCTTTCTGGCAGTAAAATATTATCAAAACCGCTCTAGCCATTTTGAACATTATCGGGAACAACCAGACAGACAAAAAATATTTAAGATGGTTTTTAGGCATAGGTATCATGCAAAAAAGAGTGATTAGAAACACACACTTTAATTTTATTTATTTGTATAGACAAATTTAGACTACACTTCCCACATGCTTTCGCTAGCGGGTACATATTTTTATAGCGCAGAACCCTAATTCTTTTTCTAATACAACAAGAGCTATTTGCCAAAAAAAAGTACCTTGTGTTTCATCTGGGTCAGAAATTTGGGATGGACAAACTCGATCTACTATTTGTATAGGATCGGTTGGTGCTGGTAGAGAGTTGCTCTCTGACGGTAGGGCCTGAAAAATATTAATAACATTAATTAAAGTTGTTACACTTGTTTATAAAATAAAATACAATAAGCAAAAACTACAAGCAAAAAAATTAACTAACAGCAAAACTTCTCTCTTCAATTCCAACTTTACCAATAACAGCAGTCAAACCCATTATGGCTAACACCCTCTCTTCAAAAGCACTGAGGGGTTGTCTGCTGATTGAACCACCGCCAGTACCAGAATCCTCACCACGTTTTGTCAAGGCTTTTTTCTTTGTTTTGGCTTTCCAGTCCGCCCACACCTGAACATATTTGTCTGTAAATTTTTGTCATCAACCATATAGTAGTAGTATAACCATATAGTCTATGAAGTAAGCTCGATGTTGTATGTACTTCATCTTGAAGAATACTAAATAAAAATAGTAAGAAACCACAAACTGACTGCCTCTGTGGTGCATTGGTAGTGTATGTGACTGCTGCGCTGAGGTCTCCGGTTCGATTCCCGGGTCAGACCAAATGTTTGTATAATCTGCAAATATTTGTTTCGGAGTTTGGGTGTTTTTTATGTATAATATGTATGTATTTACAAAAAAAAAGTATATGTATAAGTTTTCTATCAGTCAATCTAGTTTTCATAGTATAAGCTCTGCTTAGTTTGAAGCTAGATGGCGTTGTGTGTCAGATATCCTAAATATTATTATTAAAATATTATATTTTTACGGAAGTCTTGAGAATCTTACTTTTTTCCATTTCTCCATTGATTTTTTTACTCCTCCAGGTGTGGTGTTCAGTAACCCTTCCAGTTCCAACCACAGTCTATCAGCTTTTATTCGGCCATGAGGCCCTTGCTGGGGCCTCGCCATATCGCCATGGCTGGAACAAGTTAAAACTATTTAGGAGAAACAAAGAGTCCAACAGAATTGTTTGGTTTTTATCGTATCTAGTAACATTAGTTCATGTCGCGTATCACGTCATTGTTTATGTTTCAAACTTTCAAGTGCCCGAGTATGATAAATTTTCAAAACAAAGGAAAATATTTACGAAATATTTAATAATTTACATACCGTTCCATAAATTTCAATAAAGTTGCGAACTGTTCTGGGATTGCTCGAGATCTACATTCCATCCTATAAAAGTTATTAAAACATCATTTAGGGTATCTTTCATCCCTCATTTCGAGTCACAGTAATGTTTGAATAACATTTCACACTACGATATTATAATTAAAACCAATTACATGAAGAACTTGTACCTTTTTTCACTTACTTTTTTATCACCTAAAACAATAATTACTTCCAAAACAAAATTTAAATTCAAACAAAAGTTTAGCCTCAAACTGATATGATACTGGACAACGTTAATTTAAACGTCAAATTTTGACGTTTGTAAGACAGCTCACCATAAACCAAAGTAAGGTTTCTAAGTACATTGTAGAACGAGCGATCGACCCGAGGAGATAGCAATTATAGAAAAAAATTCGATGCGCAACATTTGTGTCTCGGCTAGGCCGGCTGAACAGCTTTTGTAGCCAAAAGTACTTAACATAACTTTAGCCCAGTACACTGAATTATCAAATTTTCATTAAATTCTTAAATAGCAATGATTTTATATACCTTCTTATTTATAAAATATCATTGTTAAATAGTGAATGCATCTAATTCAAATAGGTATCCTATTTTCCAACTTATAAATAAATGTTTGGACAGAAATTGTGTTTTTTCTACATATATTAAGAACATAAGTCAGGACCTAATTGCGATAATATTCAGAAGGTATGAAATATTATTTTCAGTCCTCTATCAATCTTGTCAAAGATGGTCTGATGACACTGCACCGTGAATGCCGAGATTCCAGAACAGAACCGGGTAACAAAACAGGCTTTATATATAATATCGCAATTAAATAACGATTTACAAACATACTTTGAATAGTTGAATAGTTTAAATCGCTACAATTTAAACATTAATTTGTATACCATGTATACCTATACATATGTCTGTTACTAGCTGACCCGCGCAACTTCATCTGCGTCTTTTTTACAACATTTTTTATTAATGCTCGGCATCTATTGGTCGTGGCGTGATGCTTTTGGTGGCTAAATAAAGAAAACTACATCAATTTAATATACCGTATTATTATAATATACCCAGTGAGGTTATTGGAGCCTAAGCCCCTTCCCTGCCATTGATTCTTGGGCAACCAAGACGGAAAGGTTGGCAACATTCTTGTGACTCTTCAGGTGTTCATGGGCGGCGGTAATCACTTACCATCAGGTGACCCGTCAACTCGTTGGCCCCCTCTTTCACGCAAGAAAGAAGACACTAAGAGTTTAAACCATATTATTGTAGAGCCAAAAACGTTGCAGGTAATGCAACGTTTTATTTATTTTAATATTATTGATGTTGCATTAGGATTTAAAATTTACAGGTATTTTTATTACCAGTACCGTAAAGTTTACCAGTACATCTAAATATTAAAATTTGCGAGTTTTGTAGACACGTGGTATTGAAAACGACTTTTACCGACCGCGTTTTTGCAGTCTCATCGACGACAGGCACTGCCACTCGCCAGCACTGTCGCTATTCATGCTGGCGGTGACAGGTTTCATTCGATCTGTCCGACTAAGACTCGACGCTCGGACTCAAAGGTGATACAGGTGAGATAAACCAAACCTTAGTTACAACACTGATCACCAGGTATTAATATTTTTTTAATATGCGTTTTTTAGTAAACTGTTAATACTTGAGTTGTGAACTTAATCGCACATGATGAGCCAATGGGTAGTAAAGCCGTACAAAATCATTAACTACTTTTCTTTAGGTTGCAATTTGGGATTATTAATGCTTTTATTGTTACAGTTAAATAATATGTTATTTGAAAAAGACTGATTACTTGCAAAGTTATAGTGTTCGTCGTCTTGTGACTTGCGATACCGGAAGCAAAAGCTTGTATACCTAACAAATTAAACAAAGCCACTGTTGTAAGGTTTTTAAAATATGTAACAAAAAGTAGTTTTCTTACCTTTTTCGAGATAATTTATCTCTTGAGAACATGTTCCTTATTAAAATACAACATAGTCAGTTACATATCAAGTCTACGCCTAAAAAAACAAAGATTACCGTTCTGGGTGATTCTTCGCTCTTTTTATTTCTGCGTCATTACCCGTAACATAATGTTCTTTGAAAAATTAAATAATCTTTAAAAATAACTATTTCTATATTTAAACTCTTGTAATTTAGACAAGTGCTTCATTAAAATAATTGAGTATTTTAGAACAATTACCAACGGCAAATTTAATTTCTGCAAGAAGTGAATGACGCAGATAACTAAAGAATTAAAAAAAACGAACACTTACCCGACTATTCTTAACACTTGCCGTCAATATCATAAATTGGCGAAACACTCATATGACTTACCTGATAGTTTAAAATCTACAGGTCGGAAATGAAATCCTTGTTGAAATTTTATTTCCTTTAGAATATACTTATCTAACACGGGCCTGCGGCCTAGTGGTTAGCTATTCTGATTGCTGAGCCCTGAGCCCTGAGCCCAGAACAAATATTGTGTGATGAGAACTCACGATCATTTATTGTGTCGGGGTGTAATTTATTTAAAATATGTATGTATTTAGAATGAAATAAGTATGTGTAGTTAGAAATGTGTGTGCTCGATTGACGGCAATATCTTAGAATCTAATACTATCATCTATAGTCCATCTAATCTAAGAGGTACCGTTTGACAGTTGCGACAGATTGAAGTATACCGATGGGGTCAAAGAAATCAATTACTAAAATATATGATTCTTAAGAGATTTCGATATAATTTCTTAGTATGTACTAATCGATTACAGTTTTACAGATTTATGTATGTTACTATTAAAGCCCGTGTAATGGGTTCAAACATCATAGGTTTTACTTGTAAATTTTAATATACACGAGCGATTTTTGCCTACAAAGATTTATTCAAAATTACATTAACTTACATACATTTAATTTTCCGTTTTATTATTAAACACTAAGACGCCTGGTCTGAAAATTATTCGTTATTAATAAATTCGATTTTTCGTACATTTTAACGATTATTCGTATTCCAGTGAAATTGAAGAGCCCGCAACACTACGTTAAAGAACATAACTAAATTTAAATGTAGTCATTAAGAATTGTACTCGTATATCCTAGGACAAAATAAAAATAGCTACATAAACTCCGTAATGTCCGTGTGGTGACGGACTAAGAATACAGAGTGTCACCACCCCAATTCATCCCGTGGGTCTCTTAAGAGGCGACTAAGGGAGCAAACTACGCAGGACAACAGTACTGCAGAGAGAAGGAAAACCTGACACAAACCCTATACCAACCCGTCTGGCCAGCGTGGTATAGTAGGCCAAAACCTCCTTTCTAAGGAGAGGCCTATGTCCAGCAGTGGACTGGTAAAGGCTGTTGATGATGATGACATAAACTCCATGATTTCAGGGAAAAGTTTATTGAAATTGTGTGAGTTACGCCTATACAGTCGTTTCATCTTGAAAAGTATTAAACGTCAAACGGTACCTCTTAGATTAGATGAACTATAATAATCCATTTATCATACAATCATCACCAATACTCATCTAATTAAATAATATTAGAAATAATATCAATAAATTTAATTGTAGTCGGCAACATGTGGGCGTTTTGAGCTTAAGTGAGTGTATGTACGTAGGTACGTATGTTACCTAAAACCTACGTAGCTTTAAGAACCATTCAAATTCATATCGACCAACTACGGTCTATTTTGTTTTTGCTTTTAGTTTGCATTTTTGGTTGGACATTTTATTATTATTATTTAAAATATTTCAAAACAACAATTAAATATTTAACCGTAAGGAATATGATTATACCGTAGTATCTTACATTAAAATATTTTTTGAGATGTATTTCAAAGAATAAACGCTGTTATACACGACTGTATGTGACCGACACCTGTGCCAGACACCGGTAAGTCGCCTCATACCATGATAATGGTTCCCTCGTCGGGTTTGATACTAATTGGGCATTCCCGAAAAACACATATAAACAAGTTATTCTTTATAAATACAGGGTGTAAGGGACATCGTTACGAACACTGAAATAGTGTATTCAGACCATCATTCTAAGTCGAAAATCATTTGAATTATCTATCGGAAAATTAAACCTTATAAGCCATCAGTTGTCAAAGATTAAGATCATTACCGGTAGGTACACAAAAGTAATAACTACATTTGTATTCCGTGCAAACAGTCTACGAACACTAACACAAGTTGGCGGCGGGGTGGAGGCCCCGCGCGCTTTGTCTGTTCGATTTTACATTACGGTATTTCGACATTACGGTATTGGAACGAAGTTCCTTATCGCGCGTTGTTAAAGGGGGCTAGACGGAAAAAATTCTCACGAAAAGTTGTAACGAGACTTTTTATTTTGAATTGTCACTTGTCAGTCATTCAGCGCCATCTATCGAATAGATAGGAAATCATTTCTCAAGATTTTACCAATGTATAAATTGTTTTAATTAGAAACCAACTGAAAAATAGCCGCTTTCATAGATGGCGTTGTAATTAAAATCGTGTCGAATCAGTTTTACGCGATCGTCACAACTTCGTTCCTATCGAGTGTCCCACGACACCACACGGCCTTATTTTTAAATTGTTTTCGGTAAAATGTTCTGTTTGCTCGACTCAGTATGATGGTCTGAATACACTATTTCAGTATTCGTCACGACGTATCCAATACGGAATCGAGTAAATGAAAGGTGAAACTATACATGCATGATGTTTTATTACACTGTACAATAAATATTGGGCTGTATACAAAATATAGAGGAATTCCAAAAGATATTGTCAACACTCTAGCATACATTAACATGAGTGTAAAACGACTCCTAACTTTATGTTAAAAAATCATAACATACTACTAATGGCCCCAACATATTGACTACTTTTAATATCACTCTGTTAACTATACCAGAACCAGACTGTGTATTTAAACATGAAGCATCATACAGAATAATAATAAATAAGTTATTATAAAATAAAGCTAGACCTTTTTAACTAAGCTTTATTTTACTAGAATTAACTGATTAAATCACCAGAGATCCATCACAAAAATCTAATGTTGAGGTTTATTAAAAAAAAGTGGCAGAAAAAGTAGCCAAAGTGATAAGAGCCTTAACTTATCACACAGCATAGGGCTTTCCCGTGATCGAAATATCCATAGGCCTAATTATGCTATGATTACAATTTACATGTGGATATTTTTTTCGAGCAAAACGCTTGGCACCCTTAGCTTATTCACCAGCTGTTGTGTGGAGCATCCGTTGGCATTTGAGCCGAGGCAGTGACGTAGGCCCTGGTTCGTGGTGATCGATATACAAAGGCAGAAACAACTGCAATAATTTATTCACAGTGACGCAAAT